GACCACCTCTCCACTCGGCCCCCAGTCCCTTTGGTGTGTGATGGTTCAAGTGTTATATTTCTAGAGAGCATTGTTCGGTCTGAAACATGTCCCACCCTCCAGTGTAAGTTCACTGACTGGAGGGTTTTACTCCTGCTAACTCCTGAAGAGGAACCGTTCATTTTGTATTTTTGGCTGGTCCACATGGCCTCATTCCACTGGCACTGTCTTGGGCACCCTGTGGAAAGGATAGGCATCGAGTTAACCTAGGATATCCAAAGTGTTTCTTCTCAATCCAGATTATTTGTAGCTTGAAAACTGAGTTTGTTATAAATTGGTTACGTTTTCTGGGGTTGATATTGTAATCCAGACTCAAAAAACTTGATTTCTCACCTATTCACCCTTGTTACCATCCCTTCCCCTTGCTACCTGCACTCCACAAAAAATAAAAAACAACCCCCAGATAGACCCACACCCTTGCACTCTCCCAGCTTTTGGTCATAACCCATTTGCTAGTAGTGACCAAACTCGTAATACCCTTCACTGGTACAATTTAGATGATCTGCGTTTTTAGTACTGGGCTGTCTTTGAAGACGGGAAAATCTAGGTGTCTTAGCTTAGGCTGCTATAACAAAATACCATAATCAGGTGTCTTAAACAATAGACATTTATTTCTCACAGTTCTGGAGGCTGGGAAGCCCAAAACCAAGGTGCCAGCTGATGTGGTTCCTAGTTAGGGCTCTCTTCCTAGCATGTAGACAGCCACCTTCTCACTCTGTCCTAACCTGGTGGGACAGGAGTGAACTCTAGTCACTTTTTGTAAGGACACTAATCCTATCATGGGGACCCCCTCCCATCTCCTACTCACTCCACTTCCAAACACGATCACTTGGGGCTATGGATTCATTATATGAACTTTGGGGGACATACACATTTAATCCGTAACACTAGGAAAATAAACTTTGCTCATTTTATGATCTAATTTCCACTGATTGCCAGATGGTTCTCATTGACATGAAGATCATTCTAGAGATTTACTCCATTTCCTTAGCCCCACTGAGACCCAGGGAGGAGCTAGGAGCTCTATTGAGGGAGAGGGAATGAGATATGACCTGTAGCTTCCTCTCAGCCTGGAACCAGAGCTTTGGGCTTGAGCCAGGAGGATAAGGCTGGTCACCCAGCTGTGGGATTATCTGTGCCCGATGGTGGGCTCGATGGAAGTGGGGAAGGGGCTGGAATTTGATGAACCAGGCACAGTCCAACTCGGTAGGCAAATCAAGTGCTTCATGCCTGGTCCCTTTGTTCTGTGTACATCAAAAATGGGAAGCCACATGCTTTTAATCTCATGCCTGTCTTCCTTCTAATAATTAGTTCCATCAAATTGTTTCCTCTGAGAAAAGAGCACATGTGGATTCTAAATCCTGAGCATTCTCTTCTTGGTGAGCTTTAATTGGTTATGCTTATGGAATTGAGCACTAAATCTCAGTGATTCAATTAAGACATCTGTCTCCTGTGAACATAAATAAGGATGATTCTTCCAATTCTCTATTTCCTAAGGGAAGAGAATGAAAGACATTCAAGAGTTTCAGTGAACTTAAACTTTTAGAGCTAAGGGCATGGAGAGAACAATCTTTGAGGAAAGGTGTGGGGGCTCTGGGGCCTCTTGCCTCAGCCATGAGCCTTTGGGTACCCTTCAGTCCAGAGGGCTAACAAGTGGCTGCCAAATTGACTTAGCACATGGCCTCTTCTGGGCTGAAGTGTAAGGGAAGCAGGCCTGCCCTGTCCAGGTGAGTATGATTCGGTCTTTGACTATACCCAGAGGAGAAACGTAGCGATCATGAGGAGTCTAAGCTCAGGGTTTGCTTAAAAACATGTCAAGAATTGTTTTTCTTCAGATCATGTTTTGCTGCTATTTCTAATGGTCATCCTTCTTTCCATTTCCCGTCCTCTTTCTTTGTTCCCCATTTTGATACTTACTCTTGAAAATCATGCTAAAGTTTCTCTCTCCCCCTCGGCCTCCTCTCCCTAAAGGGGACCGCTTTGCATGGCAGCCCCTCGCCATCCACAGTACCCCCAAGGACTCCCTCTACCTGAGCTCACCAAAGCCTTACATCCCCCTTAGCACCCCCATCCAGCAGAGCCCCTCACGACCCCAGCCCGTCTCCATCTCCCTGGCAGCCAGATCCTCTCCCAAAGGCGCGGCACATCCTGGGTCCTTGCTTCCTGGTTCCACGTTCCCCAGTGCTTCCTCCCAACCCCGGCACCACAGTGTGGCCACCAGGACAGTTTACAGTGGGAATGCGAGCTCTAACCCACGTCATGAGGCAGTTGGGAATAAAAAGGTCAGCAGCTTATATGTACCTTGTTTATCCAATAACATTTGCCGGGTGGCAGCGCAAAGCTCCTCTTGTGTTGCACCTGACCCAGCCACGGGCACTCCCTTGGAAGCTGCAGGCGCTCGCGCACAGGCTCCCAGCCTTGTCTCCCACGCGGCCGGCACGGGAAAGCCACCCTCTGCTCCTCCTGGCCCTCCCAAGCTATTCTTTGACATCCATAAAGATGCCGCTGTCCGGGGCGAGAGTCCTTCCCTGTGCACTCGGCCTCTGTTCCCGGACGTGGTGAGACCACCTGTGCTAGGCCCCCAGCTTTCCTCTGCTCCTGAAAACCGGAAGAGAAAAGAACCTTACCTTTTGCAGCCGTGTTATCCAGCCAAGGCAAGGAATTAGATATGTGTGTGTGTCTTCTATGCCATCTCTTTCGAAACTCATGCAAAGCAGTTCCCTTGTTTTCTGGGCTGCCCTCCCCTCCCTTTCCTCGTCAACACCTCTGCAGCTTGAATCCCGAATTCTTCTCTCTAAACGCCTCGGCACAGTCCTCTCTGCCCCCCTCTCTCTTTTCCGGTAATATGTAAGTATGCTGGAGTGGGGGATCCATAGACTAACAACATGGTGAGATATGGAGTGTTTATATCTTTTCACAAGGTGCCAAAGAAATTGTATTTACTCCCAAGCTTTCGGGCTCTGCGAGCAGTTTGGGGGCCAAACACAGCCTGCCTGCCTGTTCTGTTGTTCTCTGTCTCTCTCTCTCTAAAGTGTTAAAAGGATTCAAAAATAGAAGGATGGAAAGTAAACTTGGATGGGGTTCTCTCTGTGTCACACAGTGTCAGGAGGCCAGCTGGCTAGCACTGACGCTCTCATGTACTCTGGAGAACGGGCACTGATTAAATATTTCTCAGAGTACATCACTGCATGTCCAGGCTCAACTGTTTAAATATGGAATTCCTTTTCCCCTGCCGTGCCCCTTTACGTAACGACCCCCTTATTTCCTACAGGATGCCACTCTCTCCAGTTCAGCCCAGCCTGAGATAATAGTTGTCCCTCTCTACCTGGTTAATACTGACCGAGGGCAAGAAGGCACTGCCAGACCTCCAGCATCTCTGGGGCCCCTTGGCCCCCCAAGCCCGGCGACCGCCCCTGCCGGCTCACCTCTGACCTTCCCAACCCTAGATGATTTCATTCCCCCTCGTCTGCAGAGGCGACCCCACCACAGCCAGCCGGCCAGCACTTCTGGCCCCCACCCCCCCGTTAGCCAGACACCACCATCCTTCTCACCACCTCCTCCGCTGGTCCCTCCGGTACCGGAGGGCCTCCGCAGAGCCTCGGAGCCTGACCTCACGGGAGCTGTTTCAAGTACCGTAAGCTTGCTGGAACCCCCTCCCCAAAGCCTTCCTGAATGTCTACTCCTGGCAGTGAAAATCCCATTCTCACTGAAGTACTAAGTTCTGAGGAAGTGTCCGCTGCCACTGTGCTTGTGTGGTAACTGTTTGCTTTCCCCAGAGTGCATGCCTCCCATGCGTGTTCATGGTTCTCCTGCAGCTGCTCACGGGCCCCTCACGTCCCTCTTCCTGTCTGTCTGATTCGGAATGCACATCTTCCTGAAAGAACTCTATTTTCCCTCAGCGAACCTCTGTGGCCTTTCCTTTGGCTTGTGATGCTCTTGAGAGGCCAAGCAGATGTGATGTTGGAGAGCTGAGGAACTATGTGGGAAAGCTGATGGCCAGCCGTTTCTCCACCAGGGAGCAGTGAGCCTCCAGGGGAGGAGAGGTTCCCTCTTTTGTTGATTTAGCAAGTAAACAAACTCTTTTATATACAGAGAGGGCAGAGAATGGTTTAAAAAAGAGAGTTGAGTTTAATTGAGTAAATGGATCTAAAAGCCTTGCAGAAATGTTGGGACTATTTTCTCCAAAGGCATAAAATTGTTGCTGGGGCTTCTGACTGGAGGCTCCCAGGGGCCTTTGTGATGCAAAGTTGCTCTGGGTGTCATGTGAAAGTAAAGAGTCCTGATACCTCAGGCCCCATCCTGTGAGGAATGAGTCCACATTGTAGGTAGGAAAGCCCAAGGTGGAAAAGCTGAATCTGGGTACCCAGTCTTTTTTCTCCTCAGAAGCTCTGGGAGTCCAGAGAATCTGTGAGGACCTCAGAGTGAGTTGTAAAATGGGGAAGCATGGATCTGCTCACAGTCCTGTGGGTTGCAGTAGGATCAAGTATGTTACACTTCTATTATACTGCTTCCCATGGAGAGAGCGCTCAGTAACTGTCAGTTACATTGCTGAGGACTTGCCCTAGCAAATGGGGGCCAGAGTTCTTCAAAAGTAAGCTGTTGGCTAATTAACAATTAATGAGCTCCTGCCATGTTCTAGGCATCCTGCTGGATTCCACAGGTATGATTATGAACAGGATGCAGACCTTGCTCTCAAAGAGGTTTTTGGGTAGCATATTAGTTCTCAAGCTTAGCATACATGAGATTATCTGAGGCACGGAAGCTCAATTCTAGATTATACTCCTAGAGTCCTAGAATGGGTCTGCAGAGGGGCCTAAGGCTCTGATTTTATAACACACATCCTAGGGGTTCTGTTGCTTGAGGGTCCTCGGACCACAGTGGGTCCTGTAATTGGCTGATGAAGGTAAATGTTCAGTAACATCCCTGTGGCTCATTAAACTGAGGCCAGTCATATAGAAAGCAGGAAAACTGTTTGGATTCTAGGAGAATTTATTGCCAGATATCAGGCACATCGAAACTGGGAATGGCTTCATGCTCATCTAGGACTTCTTCTCAGATCTCTAGGTGCAACACAATGCAGTTAGGTCAAGACTCAACTGAACTTGGCCCAGGAACTTCAGATGTCCTTCTATCTTTGAGCATTGCAACTCAACCCTGTTGGAGGAAAATGCTAGATTGTTTCTAATGCACTCCCCTCACTCCAGTACAACTTACAGGTGAATTGAGAAGCTGCTCTTGTTATAGATGATATATATATTCTTCCTTCTGGCACAGAATATTTCTCTTGAGCAGCATATAAAGGGAGATATTTTTAGTGCCCTGGTATACACTTGTGAGTAGTTTTGTTGTATACTCTGTAATTTCTCATCTTTATAGTTCTAGATTTTCATATTGAATTTTGTTTCAGGTGTGCTAGGACAGATTAGTTAGGACAGTTTCCTCAGTTTCTCACTCCTGACTGATCAGCCTCGTAAAGATTTCCAGGGGAGACTTCAGTTGGCCCCGGGTAACAGGTGAAAAAGGAAACCGCTTGGGATCCTCCACTGAATGAGAATTGTCAAGAAGAGCAAGAGCCCCTGTGGATGGTGGCCAAGCCACAAGTTGATACTTGCTCAGTTTCTGCAGCTATTTGAGAGTAAGAATGAAGAAGAAACTTCATATTAATTGATCCAGGCTCTTTGAGTCAATAGCCGTTTTTGTGATGTTCCAGAAATAAGCCTTGTGCCACAGAATATTTGTATAACATTTAATGTTCACATGATCCATCCAGACACCCCAGTAGGCATTTATACTTTAAAGAGCCATATGCATGATATTTTTGGTGTGTTTCTTGGGTGCACTATGGCAGAATTTTCATGAGTGTGTCATTTATCTTTATTAAATCACTTAGGAAGTAAATTAAGACAAGTGTGATTTTTTTCTACTTTACAAATGAAGAAAATGGAGATGAAGCACTTTTGAACAAGATCATATTGTGCCTCTTGAGTCTTGGAAAGATTTTATTCACTAAACTGAGCTATTGCTCATAACTAACAGCTGCAACATCAGGGCACTTTCATAATTGGACTGACCAAGGCAGTGTTACTCAGGAAGCCCCTACTGTGTGTCAGGAGCTGTCCCTGGTCCTGACACTCACACTCTCTCTTGATGCTCACATGTTCTCTTGCTGCCAAAGTTGTTCAGAAACACCTTTGCTAGTGGATGTCTTCAGTCATTCAGGTGGCATTTACCAAGCACCTGCTGTCTGCAGGATGCTGTGCTAGGTGCAGAGTGGGTGGGGCAAAAAAAGGAAGGGAGGCATGGCTTTTGTCCTACAGGTACTTACAGAGAAGCTGATCCCTGGAGCATGCTAATTGCTTTGAGCCATACTTTCATCTGGAGAGTAATGATCAAAGTCTTGCTTTTCAGACCCTTTTAAGAATGGCATTCTGACTAGAGGTCTGCAAATTCCAAAATAGAAACTTTGCAAGATTTATAGATGTGATAGAGGAAACTACACATTACATCCTTACTACATTTTGGGGTCTTATTTTCCCGTCTTTAAGAAAGACTGGCATTATTCCCATCAAGCAAATTATAATATTAGTAGTAATGATTTTATTGGTTTTTAGACCTCGGGTTTTTGAAGTCAGGATTTTTGTAGGTCTTTACCACTTCAAAGATCTTTGTCACTCAATACTGGAGTGAAAAACAATGTCAGGATAGGACTGGAAAATATCCAAATCTCAGAAGCAAGCGCTAGTGAAGTTGTTGAATGATGCAAATAGTAAGAGTAGCTTTCTAAGAGTACTGGTACTTAACTCCTCCTCATTCTTACATTGTTGGCTTCTTGTGCTCACATTGTCTCATGTTTCTTTACACAAGTGTACTAAACTTTCCTTTTTTTCCCCTTAAACCAGCTTATTCTTGGATCACATTTGGAATTGCATGAGTCTTGCATGCATACTTTGTTTTGAATTTCCTTTTTCAGTAACCGGAGTGATTCACAGTTATTACCAGGTGAAAATAATGAATGATGTTGCTGAGAATTCCAGTAACACTCACCTTCCCTCTCTACCCTTACTAACACCAACAAAGAGACCAAGCATTCCAGATTACACTTCTAACTGGAATTAGTGATGTCTCATTGGTTACATTTCTTCCTGTAATTAAGGTCAATGTAAACCTTTATATTTCTTTTTAAAAAGCATCAACATTAGGTTTCATGCACTTACAGTTGGTTACAGTCTTTGTTCTCTTTTCAGGATTCAGGTCCTCTACTAAATGAAGTTTCTTCATCCCATGCTGGAACGGATTTCCAGATCTCTGCACCAGTTAGCAAGCCATCATCTGCCTACCCCTCTACGACAATTGTCAATCCTACTATTGTGCTCTTGCAACACAATCGAGGTAAGAGAGCTTCACAGAGCACCCTCCCCCAGCTCACTGGCATCAGCATAGCTGTTTTGTGACTTCAGGGGCAAGAATTCTGCCATTCCACAGAATTCTTAAACCCCATCATTCCCTGAGGCTGTCTGCCCCAGTCTTCTCCCTCCCATGACCCACAGAATAGACCAGAGCAGGGAGGCAGGCCCCTGATTTGTCATGATGTCAGACATCTGCATAAGTAAGCTGGTATAGTATGTGCTCCATGCGTTGGGTGTTCACAGCTGTCTTCAGATGGTACCACCGAAAAGACAGAAGGGAAAAAGTCTGTGCACCTTAACTCCTCATCATGAGATTTCAAATCAGAGCTTTGCCTGGAAAATCTGGGTACAGTAATATCTCTTATAATAAGTCATGCAGTTCTTTGACATCATGAATTTTCTAGAAAGCAAAATTTTGAGTACCAAAATTTAAAAACAAAAGAAAGCATAATGGGTGGAAACCTTTCTAAAATGTCAAACATGTTTTTGGGCCTCTAAAACAGGCTACTGGACTTTCTCTTCATGACTCACCGGCCTTGATTCTCGCCAGCAGTTAATGCTCTTGGCTGTCATTCAGGGAACCCTCTGGGGACATGATGGCTCACGTGGCCCCTTAGAGCTCTGTTGAGGGTTTCCATGTGTGTTTTCTATAGTTTCTCTTACTGCTTCTGGTTGGCCCTTCCCCTTCTCTGAAGGGGCATCTTATGTGAAGCTGAAGTGCTTTGAGGTAATAATTGTATATGTGAACCCTTCTGCCTTAAAACATCAGAAGATGCTAAGTCCCAAGTTTTAACTTGTTGGAATTCAATAGAGGAATAAACTTCCCCTTCACAAAAATCCTTTGCAATGTAAAGTTGTGAAGCTGTTTCCTAGTGCAGAAAGGGCTCTCTAGTCTGAGTTTCATAGAACATGGAATTTTAGTTTGTTCAGAACTCAAAGCTGGACACCCAATCTTCCCTTTTCTCGACTCCTGCTGCTTGGTTTCCTTTGCCCCATCCCCCACATCAACTTGGATGAGAATAGAACTTGAGTCTATTTTTAATTGTTTTCCATATTAAATGGAGTTTTCTGTTTCCTGCTTCTAACTTGTAAAACAGATGAATGAGACATTTTTTCTCACTTAAAATCTTCCCTCTTGACTCTTAAGTAGTTTAGTAATTCTTGAGTAGTTTAGTAATTTTTTTTTCATTATGTGTGCCCTCCATATTAAGTGTCCTCCATGAATCTGTGTTCTTCCAAAGGTAATAAGGGTCCCAACCCCCACACTAAACTATATAAAAGACCCATTCTCCTTTCAGCAGGGTCATACCCCTTCCTGGCAATAGCTTTCTCTGCCCATCATGCAGGACAAAGTGAAATTTTGATTCTCTGTGAACTTCTTTATGATTCATCTTTTAAAAAAAATCCAGTTGAACAGAAGCAAGTTAGTTCCCAGAAGGAGAGGCATTTTCTTTAAAAATGGGATTTATTCCCAAGGCAACTTGGTTTTTGGGAAATGCCAAGAGTAATGTCAGCCACTTCCACACTGTCCCTCTGATGACACCTAGTGAGACCTCTTTGGGCCAAGAAATGCCTGTGGTTCTTTTTTGTTTCTTCTGAAGCAAACAGATCCCTCTTATTTGCCCAGATGTCTTTGGTTCTTGCCTTTCTCTTTTGTCCAGTCCTGCCCTTTGGGTTTAAAGTTAAGATTCGTGCTGCCTGAATCACACATCCTTCAGAAAAGGATATAAGTACATTGGTTTTTTTGGAATAAAAAGTAGCTTCTCAAAGAGAGCAACATATGTTCCCTAAGGAGGTGGAGCAGAAAGAGTGGAGGAGAATGGAAACACCTACCCTCGGATTACTAATTGTCCTGCATTTCAGTCCCTGCTTTGGAATTTACCCAGCCTGGCAGCAGCGCTCATAGACAGGACCCAGAAAAACAATTTCCTAACTATTGCAGAGTCTCCTGAGGGAATGATAACTTTACTCTACTTCCGCAATTCTAGTTTGGTCATCCTAAAAAAGGTTTACTTTTTTCCTTGCCTAGACAGCTCCAGGGCACAGTATGACAATAACCCTCTCTCTCCAAGCCAGGTCCCCCACTTGCAGCCAAATGGGGCAGGGGGCACTGCACATCTAGCCCAGCACCTGTGGCCATGCACAATACAGCTCCTCGCTCCTCTCCTCAGCTTTCACACCACGTGTCTGAGGGCAGACCACTTCAAATCAGTCTGGAGGGAGAATTTGAACCAGAAAACTCAGGACTGAAGAGACGCCTGGGTCCCCCAGCTCAGAACTTCTTGGCCTTTAATGTGTACAGTCTTGAAAGGACACACTCAATGGATGTGGATTCAGGAGGTCTGTGGCAGAGCTGAGATGCTGCATTTTTTCAGCAACTTGAGGGGCACATCGATACCACCAGTCCATGGACCACACCGGAGAGCACGAGCTCCATGGCTCCCAGACTCTGGATCTCATGGTCATGTGAAGCGGTCTGGGAACTAGCCTAGGGTTGCTAATTTCTAACTTCGGTAAATAACAGCCCTGAAGAACAACTGCGGTTACCCATATCACATGTCGTTCTCTAAAAGAAAGGCCATTTTATATCTCAGAAGAAGGAACAACAGAGTCTTTTAAGTTGAATAAATTTGCTTTTGCTTAGTAAGGAAGGCCTTGCTTCCAGTTGACAGACTAGAGTTTGAGATCCATAGATCCGGTGGGCACTCTGATGTGACAAATGAGGAAACAGGCTGAGAACTTATGTGACTCTGGAATCCTCCAGCAAGCTGCTGGCAGCGCCTAGCCTGGAGCTCTGCTGAGCTCCCGTTGTCCAGCCGGTGTGAATTGTGTCCACATCCAGAGGTGGACAGGCTGTTCCATGGGCTGAGCGAGTCCCTGCTGCTCTGTTTACTTCTTGCCCACATGGATTCTGGAGGGAGGGTGAGGCCGTAGCCAAGGCCAATGATGACAGCACCCAGGGGCTGGCAGGCACTCTATTTTTATCTATGCGGCTGCATTATATTTAGCAGCTTTGGAAGGTAAAGGTCATTTTTGTGCTTATCCCGTAGCACGTACACACAGATCTCTCCAAAGGAGACATTGGCACTCACGAGTGCCCAGCAGGGTGAGGAACCAGTAGACCTTCCATGTTGGGGAACAGTGATGGCCTGGCCATCAGGATTGGAAAGAACCCTGGACTAGGAGCTGGGCATCCAGGTTCTAGGCCCTGCTCTGATTTTCAGTGTCATCATGGGTAGTTTGTGCCGATTTTCTGAAATGTCTCAACTCACCTGACCTACCTGCTAGAGTTGTTGCAAAGATTAAAAGTGTTAACATCTGTGAAAGCTCTTAAAACAATGTCTGGCATTTGGCAAAGGAGCTATCATCCCAGGAGATGGTAGCTGCCATGGGTATGAGTACAAACATTTCCTTCCAAACGTACTGAGACTGGGGTCTTTATAAGGTCCTAGTCCCTTGAAACCAGAGGAGTTGGGAGGGTCTCCTTCCATGATCAGATCACCTTGAAACCAGGTGTAAACAACCAGAAGACAGTGACTGTCCCCAGAATCTTGGTGCAGATATGGGGGTGTGGGGGGTAGGACACACCACACCTGGATAAGAAAGCTGTGTTAATGCCCTTGCATTCCGCTGGATGTGGTGACTATGCAACATTTTGGCATCTAAGCCCAGAGGACAGTTAGCGTGCCAATTTGGGGATGCTCATGAATTCTGGCGGGACTTCCTGGTCTTGCCTTGTCTGTGTAAATCTCATGATGTGTATCCTTTCTCTTACCACAGAACAGCAGAAACGACTCAGTAGCCTTTCAGGTAGGTACTAAATACTCATTTACATGCTAACTCCTTTGATGTGTGCGCAGCAAAGTCTGAGGAGCCCCTCTGCTGTGCTGAGGACTCTGCTGCTGGACCACAAGGCTGGGGAAAGCAGGCGTGGTCCTGCCTCCCTGCAGCTTGCAGGCTGGTGGGGGCACACCCAACCAGTGACCCTAATGGTACACCTGTTCTGTGCAGCTGTGGTATGTGCCTTGATGGTAAGAACAGGGTACTCTGAATAAAAAGAACAAAGAGTTGTGCCTTAGGTGGAGCATTCATGGCAGACCTTGCTGAAGAAGTCACTTTTCTGTTTGCTTCTAATCTCTCATCTAGGATGTAATAAGTAAGGGTTAGGAAATGTGGGCAAGTTCTTTTATTTTGGGGTAGCAAGCCCAGTTGCCAGTAAATGACCTGCATGGTGGACCTGGGTGAGAAACTCCAGCCTAGCAGTGCCTGGAAGAGGGTGTGAGGAGTGCATCTTGAGCTTGAGCAGGCATCAGAATCTCCTGGAGACCTGGTCGGAACCCCAATTCCCAGGCCACAGCTCCAGAGGTTCGGATTTAATGCATATGGGTGAGAACTTGCATTTTAATGGGTTCCCCAGTGATGCTGATGCTCCCCTGTGTCCTGCCACACTTGGGTAGCAAAGTTCATCAGGAACTTACAGTGCTGGGTGTGTGTCTTACAGATCATCAGATGTCAGGGCTCGTCCCCTAATAAAGTATGCAGCACTGGGGCAAGTCCAGGTGTGAAGGGAATAAACGCATAGCCAAACCTGTGAGGAAACCCAGGAATGGTAAGGTTTTACCATTTCCTTAAGTCTTTCTTCTTGGAGTCCTGGTTCTACTACTTCCCAGCAGTGGAGCCTTAGGCTGGTTCCTAATGATCTAAGCCACAGGTCAGTTTTCTTATGTGCCAAATGGAGCGCGCAGTAGGACCTTGTAGGTTCTGCTTATGAACAGCTTAGCACCAAGCATTGGCACTTACGAAGTGCTTGGTAGATGTGAGTTACTGTCAGTCAGCAGGTACCTCCATTGACTCATTCCTCATTTTATTGGATGCCTACTCTATTTCAGGCCC